CAGAGATACCTACTTGACTTGGGCTGCAGAGATACCTACTTGACTTGCGCAGCTCCGCACAACGACGCAAAAGACGAGTGGTAGTAGGTGGTGTGTGTGGCATGTCTTTCATATTCTGTATCTTAATCTGTATCCATCCATCCATTTATAATGTTTTTGTTTTGTTTAATATTGTCTAAAAAAACAACAACTCACTTTTATACAAAAAAGAGAATTTTAATTAATGCGTAGTTCATGTTATTTATTTATTTTTGCTGAATAAGGCTTTAGTTTTAACCAGATGGATGTAAATACCAAAACAAGTTTAATAAATATGCTTTGATTTTGTTTGTTGGTTTAAAATGTTTATTAAGTTTGTTTGTTTTTATGTTTGGAAATGTAATAATTCCTTATTGCTTTAGTGGGAAGAATTTTGACATATTGTTTTTTTTTGTGTGTTTTTTTTTAGATTTCTTTTCTTAGCAGTGTTTTACATTGTCGTTTAAAATTCTGATCAGCAGCCAAAAAAAAAAAAAAACATAAATAATGGCTTTATGGAAACCAGAGGCATTAGGCCTCCCTGACTGGGACCTCTCTGGGTAGAGTATGCATGCTCTCTCTATGCATGCATGTTTTTTCTCCATTTTCCTCCCACAGAACAAAAACATTTGTCACGATAAATTGTGCCTGAGAGTGAATTCTTGTCTCACTTGTTTTTCTGTAGCTCAAAAGAGAAACGTATTTGGAAAGACATTCGTTGTTGAGTCTGTTTCAGTCTGTGCCAACAAAACACTTTTCAGCCTTTTCTTAGGAATGCACTTTGTACCCACGTGGCTAATGTTTTAACAGGTGGGCCTTCTTCCACAATATCCTGATACATGCACCACCTGGTGGTGGATGGGTTAAATGCAGAGACTAATTTCGCCATTGTATGGAAACATACAGTGCTGACATTGTGATGACATTATTATTATTATTATTACATGCTCAATAATCCAGGTAGAAAAATCCAGGAAGTCTCTTGGATGAGAGACAAAATGTCTCTACATTTTTTTGCTATGTTTTTTTTTTGTTTGTTTTCTTGTTTTTTGAATGTCCAGAGGACCAGATTAAACTTTTTTGGCTTCTTCCTCAACGCTGCTCATTGTTTGAGAGCGTTGAGGCGTCACATGGTAACATAACACAGCTTCTGCAGACGAACTTTTCAGGGACTTTTCCTTTTGGAGTCAAAAATGAAGGACTGTTTTCTCTGTCACATCATTTCTTTTCAACGCCAACAACAGCATCTGATTATTTTCTATTATAAAACACAAATGTGTTAATATTTTTCATGTACTGTGAAAACAGCTTTGCCATTTTCTTCTTCGAAACAAATAAAAAGAAAAGAGAAATCAATACACACGAGTAAAGTCTTGAAAATATTGTTTGTTTGTTTGTATTCTACAACATAAACAACTACTGTGATGGACTGAGACCTGTCCAAGGTGTCCCCGGCCTCTCACACTGTGGATGGATGAAAATAAACAACTACTGCCCTCTGCTGGCCATAAATGATCATCAACCTTCATATTATAAATAACACCAACACCATCAACAACAATGCTACTACCACTACAAATAGTACTACTACTAATAATAATAATAATAAAAAAATATATAATAACAACAATAATAATAATAATAAAAGGAAAAGGAGGAACCCAGATCTAAACGAGTGGTCATTCCGTATGTTGCGGGATTTTCAGAGAAACTGAAATTTTTATTTTCTAAACATAACGTCCCAGTGGTTTTCAAACTCCAAAATACATTATGGCAAAAACTGGTCTATCCCAAAGATCCAGTCCCCCGGTGCAAACAGAGTAATATTGTGTAAGCTGTTCAGTGTCAGGAGGGTGATCAGTCTTACATCAGGGAAACAAAACAGCCACTGGCCAAAAGGATGGCCCATCACAGAAGATCAACATCATCAGGCCAGGACTCTGCGGTCTACACTCATCTCCAGGCCAGCGGTCACTCTTTCAGGGATGAAGATGTGCACATCCTGGATAGAGAGGAACGAAGGTTTGAGAGAGGACAGTTCACACACACTATCACAATTTTTTTGCATTATTACCAATAAAAATGTACAAACAATAAAAATTGAGATTGTTTGTTTTGATTTATTTCAATGTTATAGTTTTAATATATTTATATAATGTTTTATTTATCAAATAGACCAAAAAATAAATGTGAAACATTCGTGTTTTATTCTATTCTTTCACAAAAATATGTAGTTAAAGTAGGTATTTGTGCTAAATATAGAAACAAATCCTGTCTAACCCTGAATGCTAGAAAACGCCTTGTATCTGTGACTTTCCTTCCCTCCATTGATTACGGTGACATTATTTACATGAACGCTCCTACAAGAACCTTGCAGATGTTGGATGCTGTCTATCATGGTGCACTAAGATTCATAACTGGCTGTGATTATCGTACCCACCACTGCACCCTGTATTCACTGGTTAACTGGACATAATTAACTTTTCCCACTGGTACATTTTCATCTTTAAATCACTTCTTGGTCTGTTGCCTTCATACATCTCCTCCTACATGTCTCTGCGTGAGTGCAGTTACAGCGTGCGCTCTCAGGACATTATTACCTGCAGTGTTCCCTCAATGAGGACTGAACTTGGCAAAAGGGCCTTCTCCTACTCCGCTCCTGTTTCCTGGAATATCTTACAAAAAGATTTGAAGCTCTCGACCTTGACCTCTCTAAGTGGCTTCAAACATCTGTTGGACTCCTGGCAGGGACCAATGCTGACATGTTCCTGTTTTTAGTTTTCTACATTCGCCTTAGAATCTAGCTGTTTTTTTTTTGTTTTTTGTTTTTTTGTTACCTTTTCCTTTTAGCCATCCTATTTGTAAAAAAACAAACAAACAAAAAAAAAAAACTGTATTATGATTTTTTGTAATTGTTTATTGTTGTTGCTGTTGTCCATTGTTGTCATCTTTCTTTGTTGAAATCAGGTCTCTCTTGTAAATGAGTCCTCGAGGCTCAATGGGATTTACCTGTATAAATAAAGGTTGATTGATAGCAAGTTTTAAATGTTGCGTTTGTTTATTTTTAAAAGCATGTTTTTACATTTTTAATAACCCAGAGATTTTATTTGATTTTTTATTTTATGTGGTTATTGTTCAATTATGAAACTTTAAAGCCACTGAGAACTAAAAAAGTGTTTCATAGATTCCAATACTTTCATGAAGTACTTATTTATGTGAATTGTAATCCTTAATTCATTTGTAATCATGTTAAATAGCAGCTCTGTGGAGTGAATGGTTTTAGTGGCCTGTGTCTCCCATCCCAAAATGGTGGGCCTGTTGACGTGTCACTGCTAATAGACTTGTCCCATCGCAGGACGTCCTGTTACAGGAGAAATGGAGGCATTAATACTGGCTGTTCAATGGATTGAAGATAATCAACCACTTACATCAATAATACTCTATGTTCAGATTCTAGTTCATCATTAATTAGTAAAAAAAAAAAAAAAAGTTCTTCAGAGAGCAGACCAGACATATTGATGGAAATATACAGCAACAATATACAGAATTAAGATGATGGGTTCAGGTCTCTCTTATGAATGAGTCCTTGAGGCTGAATGGGACTAACCTGTATAAATAAAGGTTGAAAGAATGGATGGATAAAGCTCATATAAGAGGAAATGAAATAGGTGATAACGTTGCAAAGGAGGCCACCAAAAACATCTCAGTTGAAATAGGTTTAAAATTCAGTTGAACAAAAATGAAAAGCATCATAAAACAGAGAATGAAGGACAAATGACAAAAAAAAAGGGAAGAAGAAAGAAAAGTTTGATAGTTTTACATAATTCAATGAAAAGCAGACGAAATGAGATGAGCAGAAAGAAACAGGCGAGAGGGAACAGTCATATCACATCTCAGATTTGGACAAATGTGCTTGAACAGAAGATTATTCATAATATAATAGAAATGAATAGAACAGAAAGAATAAAATATAATTTAATAGGGAAGCATAATATATAAATGTGACTACTGTGGAGAAAATGAGACCATGTGTTACTGACCTGCCAGAAATACAGACATGAAAGAAGTCATCTGATTAACAGTCTCACTAAAATAAAAGTAAGATTTGACCCTATTGAATTGTTACAAGAGAATTCAACCTCTGAATGGACTAACGTGTTTCATTCAACCTTTATTTATACAGGTTAATCCCATTGAGCCTCAACATTTTATTACGATAACTGAAACAGACTCGTTTGTTTGAAAGAATATGAGATTTTATTTATTTATTTATTCTTATTGTATTTACTGTATTTATTTATTCTTTTTTTTCCAGCCATTCCAGTTCACACTCCTAACCAGCAGGTGGCGGTAAGGCTTTAAAACATTGTCTGTCTACCGCCAAATCAAATAGGCGAAGAAGAAGAAAGGACGTCCTTCTTATTTATTTTTTTATTTTTTATTTTTAGGCTCAGCAGTAACTGTTAGCGGAAAACGTGGAAGGACAAAAAGCTAATAAAATCGTCAGGACATGAGGTCGAACACCACCTGGTTGTAGCAGTGAAGAAATATTCAATATTTTTGAAGAAATTGGCGAAGATTACGAACAGGAAGTGCAACGTTTAGAAGAAAATGAGCGAGCGACCCTTAAACGCTTGTTTCAGCCCAAGCTATCAGATGCACGGTTTGTATATCTTTATTCATGCTATATTCTTATTCTCTGCTACTGTCAAGTGTAATAACGTTAGTTTGCATATAGTTATGTTTTACAGCTAGCTAAAGTATTTAACTTTTTACTCAAACGTGTAGCACAAAAGCTGGTTCTGTTCTGTTTGTAGCTTAGCTTGCTAACCGTTCAACATGAAGGGTCACAGCCTAGAAACAGCAGATGTTTGTGCTATTTTAGTAGTCACTGACTTTTTTTTTTTTTTACTTTTTCATTGTAAACAGTTAAAAACCCAATCTGCCACTCAGCTGAAGGATGTCAGTATCAGTGCTGCCCACTCATCTTTGTTCTGTTTAGACCTGAAGTGCAACATACAGCAATGGAAACAGAGGTGACAAGTTCTTGAAAGGCTGATCACATAGATTGAAAAATGATTTTAGTATTGTTGAAGTTGGTATGTGTTATTACGAGATTAACAATAGTACCATAATATCAATGTTGGCAGTCATCTAAGTGTTTTTACTGCATGTGTTTTATGTGAACTCTATTTGAAATTTAAATTTTACAAGTGATCAACTATTATTTTGGGGAGTGGTGTTGAGATTAGAGAAGGTGAGCCTGTGGTTGGGAGGTTGCCTGTTCCAATCCCCTGACCGTTACATCACAATGTGAGTGGGGAAAGGTGAAGCACCCACATCTGTCTCTATCCTCATTTTCCCACTGTGTGTGCCTTTGAGCAAGGCTCTTAACTACTCTCCGTGGGCCCAAAATGGCAGCCCTCTGCTCCAAACATGTGGGCTGTGGTAGCTTGGTGGTCTGTGGTTGCAACAGGAAGGGCATCCTACATTAAACAATAGCCAAGTGTTTTGTGTGAGTTAGCTCGCTGTGGCAGCCTCTGAAGAAAAAAGTTATTGATGGATTGAACCCCGGCTTGGGAGCTTTCTGGGTGGAGTTTGCATTGATATTGTAAAAATATCGAGATAATTTTCTCCTTTACTCCTCTCTCAAACCATCGTTCATAGAGGAACGATGGTTTGAGAGAGGAGTAAAGGAGGCCATCTTTGTGAAAAGAAATCGTCCATCATTAAACAGGGGTGGAGGCCTCCGGGTTCAACTGTCCCCCTCTTACAATTCTGTTATTGCTAGTATCACTCAGCCCTCTGTGAATAGTAAACAGCCATCAGTGTGCTAATGATCCATCGTTAGGCTGATGGTCCTTCTTGACCATGTGAGCAGCTGGTTTTGGTTGTCAGCAGCAAAACTGGTTGATCCACTACACGAAGGTGCTATTTATAAGACTGAGCTGAATACAGCACCTCAGACTGAGGAAGTCTTTCAGATGAAAGATGAAACATTTCTACTTTTGTTTTTGTTTGTTTTATTTCTTGAATGTCCATAGGGCCAGACTTAACTTTATTAGGTACCCTTAAAAACAAAACAAGCTTTTCAGGAAAGCCTAATTTAGACATCACTGAGTACATCGTCTTGTGCAATGCAAAAAAAAATAAAACAAAAGTTGGTTGCAAAAATGTAAACACCTTTTAACACTTTTGTTAAGTAGATTTGGATTTAATCACTGCTTTCATTCTTCTTGTGTTCTTGGGATCATACTTGTCAAAGTAAAGTTTAGCTGCCCACGCATTTAGTCCGTTTGTACTATAGGATAGGGGAAACCTTCTCTTCTTACAAAGATAAAAAAGTTAAAGCCCAGCTGAATACTGAACAAAAAAATATAATAATAATAAAATATCAAGTCTCCCAAAAGCTAGTATCAAAATGTTTTATTGTCTGATGAAATCAAAGTTTACATTTTTTACCACAATTCCAAAATAAATGTTTGGTGCAGGACCAAGACTGTAAATCATCATATTTAAGAACAGCATAGCCACAGTGAAACATAGTGGTGGGAGCATCATGCTGTTGGGGTTGGGTAGAGTTTTTTAAAACCTGGAACTGGGGTTTTAGTCAAGCTGGGTGGAATGGTCAAACATTTGAAATACCTGCATTATTTTGTCCTAAAACCTACATGTCTGAATCTTATTCTGTTTTAACAACTGGATCATTTTCTTTTGTCCACAAATAAGTTTAGACAGTGTTCTTAAAGCTAAAGTGTTATAAAACCAAAAGATTTTTTTGCAATAGACTTCATTTGTTTTAACAAGAAACCTGCTAATGACTGCATATGGTTTTCCATCTTCTGAGATCCAGTTTTAAGAATGTCTGTACTATATTGATTTTAGTTTCAAGAGGGTACATTTTTATTTATAAACTCGGCAGTAACATGAGTGATGTAGAGTCATGGTGAAAAAAACCCACACTCTTAATTCTAGGTCTCATGTATCGGGATATGATAAAAAAATATGCACTCCATTTTAGGAAACAAGGTAAACTTCCACAGGGTTTCTTTAAGCTTGAACCCCAACAATAAAGACTCATGCTTCGTGGCATTACAAAACTGGTTATCGACTCAGTACCTTAACGCAGGATTTCTGACTCTGCATTTCTGCCTATTCACTTAAATCAAATGACTAAAGATAAGTCTTGACCTCAACTCAGTTAACATGTAGTAGTACCTTATGAGAGCTGCATATAAACAAATGCTGCAAATCTAAAAGAACTGAAGCAATGTTGTGAAGAAGAATGGACCAGATTTCCTTCACAAAGACAGACTGAGTCGTACAAAATATGATGACTTCAAGTTTTTGCTTTTAAAGTTGGTTCTATTGAGAGAGTCTCGCTGTTTGTGTGAAACCAAATATCAACTCAACATAGTTCTTGTGTGTTTCAGTGGTCCCTGAAGATGCTCAGGAGATGCTAGTGATTAAAGAGGAAGCTCCTGAACAGCAGAGTGCTCAGGAGTTGATGATGATTAAAGAAGAAGCTCCTGAAGAGCAGAGTTCTCATGTGGACCAGCTGGACCCACTGCACCTCACCATAAAGGAGGAAGAGGAGGATCTGTGGACCGGTCTGGAGGGGGAGCAGCTCAATGCGAAGAATGAGACTGATGCCACCAGGTTTCCCTTCACTCCAGTTACTATAAAGAATGAGGATGAGGAAGAGCAACCGGTGCCCTCGCAGCTTCATCAGCACCAAGTTGATGTTCAAGAATTTCCAACCATCAGCTCAGATGATCAGATGGAGGCAGTAACTGATGGAGAAGACTGTGAAGGACCGTATATAAACTGGGGTCCAGATCTTAAGACTTATGAAGAGGATTCCAACTCTTCGTGGACTGATGATGACAGTGTGGATGATGAAGAGGAAGAGGATGGAATCAATCCAGACTCTCAGCTGAAACACTTGTCAGACTCTGGATCAAAATCTGACGATAATGACAAAGACTGGAAGGAGAGCTGGGCTTCTGAGTCTGGTGTAAACACTTTTAGCTGCTCTGAGTGTGGTGAACAATTTACCCACAGCCAGTCCCTTCAGAGACACATGACCTGCCATTCACAAGTAATGTCTTCAAGCTGTTTGAGTAACAAGACACAAATTACAGAGGAGCAAAATATAGACTCTGATAGAAAAATCCAAAAAGGACTGAAATCATTTATCTGTGATGATGTTGGGGAACGCTTTACCAGCGAAAGTGATCTAAACAAACACACAGAGGTTCACACCAGACCAAATTTGTTTGGTTGTGATGTTTGTGGCCACATATTTAGCCTAAAGCAAGATTTAAACTCACACATGCAATGCCACATTGAGCAGAAACCTTTTGGCTGTGATTTTTGTGAACAAAGATTTATTACAAAGTCAAATCTAAACATACACATAAGAATCCACACAGGGCAGAAACCGTTTGGTTGTGATCTTTGTGGGCAGAGATTTAGTCAAAAGTCTAATCTAAACACACACATGGGAGTCCACACAGGACAAAAATTGTTTGGTTGTAATCTTTGTGACCAAAGGTTTAGTCAAAAGTCAAATTTGAAGACACACATGAGAGTCCACACAGGACAGAAGCAGTTTGGTTGTGATGTTTGTGGACGAAGATTTAGTCAAAAGGCAAATTTAAACACACACATGAGAGTCCACACAGGACAGAAGCAATTTGGTTGTGATGTTTGTGATAGAAAATTTAGTCAAAAGGCAAATTTAAACACACACATGAGAGTCCACACTGGACTGAAACAGTTTGGTTGTGATGTTTGTGGACAAAAATTTAGTCAAAAATCAAATTTAAACATACACCTCAAAATCCATGCAGGGCAGAAACCTTTTAGTTGTGATATATGTGAAACCACTTTTAGCCGAAAGCAAGATTTAAACACGCACATGATGAGGCACACTGGCCAAAAACCGTTTAGTTGCGATTTCTGTGGAAAAGGATTTAGTCGAAAGACATATTTAAACGCTCACTTAAGAATCCACCTGGGTCAGAAGCCATATGTTTGTGATGTCTGTGACCAAAGATTTACCCAAAAGTCACCTTTAAACAGACATATGGAAATCCACACAGGGCAGAAACGTTTTGTTTGTAATGTCTGTGGACTCAAATGTAGGCGAAAGACAAACTTGGACACACACATGAAAAGCCACACAACAACATAACCATTTAGTTGTGATGTTTGTGGACAAAGATTTAGCAGAAATGTAAAATGGACTGCACATTATATAGCACCTTTCTATCTTATCAAGATACTCAAAACTCTTTACAACACAATCTGTGTCCTCATTTACCCATTCATACAGCACTCTATCTGTACAAAGAATAATCAGAGCTTTATCACATTCACACACTGATGGGACACATATCGGAGGCAATGAGGGGTTCAGTGTCTTGCCCAGGGACACTTCAGCATGTGACTGCTGATGGAACTGAACCCACAACTCTTGCATTGGAGGACGACTGCTCTAACCACTCATCCACAGTGTAATTCTGAATCACTGAAGGAAAAGTGCAGTTGAATATCATCAGCATACAAATGGTAAGACACATTATTGAAGCTAGTGATAATCTTTCCAAGGGGGCTTATGTAGAAAAGGAACAGAATAGGACCTAAGACTGAACTCTGAGGAACACCATATAATATTAATTATTATGTCAATTCTTAGTTATTTTTTCTGGAATTCCTATTTTATTCTTAAAAACATTTATCAAAATTCATTGCAAACTTCTATTAGTACAACTAAAAGTTCCAGGTTTGCTTTCTAACTGAATATGAGTTGAATGGGTACTGTGCTGCTGCAGCTAAATATGAAATGTTTCAAACATTTAAGCTGTAAAAAAATTAAATTCAAACATTTTCATAGCATTTAAGAAAATATTCTAGTTCTAATGTCTTAACAGATTAAATATACGCGAGTGTTATTTTATTTTCAGTTTACCCTGTCAAGTTTATTTTCTATATTGATGAACTTTTTTTTTAATATATTTTATTTTCAAATTAATAAATGAATAGCAAATATTGCCAAGTTTGTTGTATACTGGTATTTCTTTTTATAAATCAACTTGATGACATTACATACTGTATTTGACATGTACTGTATGTTTTTTTATTTTCCAAAAAAACCCCACATATAGTTGTTAAGAGAAAGTCAAGTGTAAGGTAGAATATGTGCATTTGTTTCTGTTTGTAGTTTTGATTTTTTTTTTTTAATAAAAGTTATAATCATGCAGAAGCTCCCACTTTGGCGTTCATGCTTCATAAAGGGATGTTTGGTTGTGTTTGACAACAGAGTGCTCTTCAAGGAGAGGAGTTTGAGTCTTTCCTGTTGGATTTTTACTGTTTAACCTAATGTCTTACATTTTTGAAAGTTATAATGAATCAGCAACATAGACTCATTTAGGAGGTAGGAACAATATAATTGACGCATCTTATTTTACTCATATGTCCTGATACTTTTAAAGTTATTTCAGGAAGTTAATCATCTTATGGTCAGCGTACAGATGTGTCGCTGAATGTGGAAAGTTTGTATAAAACGTACTGATTGGTGATGAATCAGGTGCTTAATCTTAAGGTCCTGTCACACTAAATTCCTGCACTTATGCAGGAACTATTTACACTCAAATGATATATTTTATATACCCGGAGGACATTCTGGGTGAAGTTTGCATGTTCTTTCTGTACATGCGTGGGTTTTCTCCAGGTAATCTGGTTTTCCTCCCACAGACCAAAAACATGCATGTTGGGCTGATTGGTAATTCTAAATTGTCCCTAGGTGTGAGTGAGAGAGTGAATGGTTGTTTTTCTCGTTTGTATCTCTGTGATGGACTGGAGACCTGTCCAGGCGGTCCCCCCGCCTCTCACACAGTGATAGCTGGATATGGGCACCAGTGACCCCTGTGACCTGAAAAGGAAAAAGCAGGTTAAAGATCTTCATGATTTGTAATCCAGAAATTTAGGTCATTTTTTTTTTTTTCAATTTGATTATTTTTCTTACAGCATATATAACCATTACATTTTTGATTATAGTATTTTGTAATACTTTAAAATACTGTTGTACTTAAAGTAATTCTTAAAGCTTTTTTTAATATTTAAAGCAAGAAGGAAATATCAAAGCAAACCATTAAATATGCAGATTTCAAATTTTTTTATATAATTACTTGTCCCAATGTTTTTTTTTCTTTCTTTCTACAATTATAGTTTCGATTTTTTTCCCCCTAAAAAATATAATAAAGTAAATATGGAGTAGATTGAACCAAAGTAAAGTAGAAATTGTTATGAAAAAATCCATGTAAAACAATATACAGAATAACTTCCAATTTATTATATTATTTTATCCTAATCTGTAACTAGCATAGTTAAAAAAACAAACAAATCTATGCTAAATAATGAAGCTTTGTCAGGATATTTCAGATGCATCTAAAAACATTTAATTGTGAAGTAAGTAGTTTTTTTATGAGCCTAGCACAGACACCTTTATTTTGAGCATTTTAGTGGTTTATTGCTTAACTATAAGCTTCTAAAAATGGCAACAACAAAAAAAAGAATTGTTTTACTACATAAACTCCTAAATAAAGTTATATTTTTTATTTGTCAAATGTACGTCTTGCAGCTCCTTCGGTGACCTGGACGCTTTACTGATCTGAACCGAGTAGCACCTTCCAACATGGCGGACCTGTTGACGTCTCGCTGTCAGTAGGCTCCGCCGGTCTGTGCGGGTCGTTTATTACTTGTAGTCTCTGGGCTTTTATCGACTCGCTTGCTGTTAAAGGACGATGTTGCTTGACACCATCTACCAGAGGTGTGAAGACAACAGCTCGAACACTGACTGAATGCATCTGTGAACGAAATATTGTGGATTGTTGAACGAACAGCTGCAGATTTATGAGCAGTAAGTGTCGTCTTTGAAGAAAATGAGCGACAGAATACTCCCGAATGCTAGTTTCAACCCCGACTATCAACTGCACATAGTAGGTTAGTATATTTTTATACTTAATGTCAATGTGGTGATGTTAGTTACAGTTTTATTTCCTGTTTTCAGGCTGCTAACGGGTTTAGCTTCTCAGACGTGTAGCCACTAGCCGCTTGTGTTTGTAGCTTAGCTTGCTAACCTGTGAAACAGCGGGTCACAGGCTAAAGATATCAGGTGTTAGAGCTTTTCTGTTAATTAATCATGAACTGTTTCCCATTTCTTTTTAACAGTAAACACACGAAAACCCAAAGTACCACACAAATAAAGGCTGTTAGCATCACGGCTGCTAACTCCCTCACAGTCTTTCATGTTCTCATTCCTTTCATGGGGTTTGATGTCTTCTGTTTTTAATATTGTTTAGCATTTAGAAGCTTCCAGCTTAATATGTTTGGAGCCAGATGCACAATGTACAAAGATAACAATAGAGGTGAAAAGTTGTTGAAAGATTAATCCTATAACCATTTACATTATCACATTAAAGTTTGAAAAAGTGATTTTTGTTTTTATCTGCTGATGCTAGTGTATTTTTTGACTGATTCAACTTCTCATTATCTAAGGTGTAGTACTGGTAGTTAAAATATTATCTGTGGTGGGGGTAAGCTGAATAATTACACAGACATACCTCAGTAAAAAAAAAAAAAACTTACCTCAAATAAGCAGTAGACCTATATGGTAATTCACTCAGGCATGGATGCTGTGTGTATTGTGCATGTATGTATGTATACATATAGTTAAATATCTGTACATGCATGTATAACTGTATCACATGTCTAAGTGTATATAGGAACCTTAGCTAACATTTGCACATTACTTGTTGTATCTGCACCAGAGTTGCATCTTCTGCGCTAAACACCAAAGTCTATACAATTCATGTAAATTGTGTATTCCTACACTGATATGGAGAAATTAATCAAAATTGCATGGTGCAGTGTACAATGTTGAATGACAATGAAGTTTATAAAGTTAAAGTTTTATTACATGTATTTTATGTTATTGTATCTGTCTAAATCAGGCGTGTCCACAATTTGTCATATGTGGGCCTAAACTGTCAGGATGCTAATCACAGGCCACCAAAAAATATTTGAAAACAGCTTTTTATATTTTATTTTTAATGCTAAACATCAACATGAACAATGTTTTGAAGAAGGGACAAAAGTTGACTAATTTGGGTGAAGGAGTTCTAAATTGTTGCAGATCTAAAACATTAAAAGCCTCATAAACAGTAAGTGCT